ATTCCTTTTGATAACCAATCAAGTTGAAGATGATGACCATTCAACATAAAAATTCTTCTTTTATTTCTTCTTCTAGGGGCCAAAGTTCTATTGCTTTTCCTTCTTTATTATTTTCTTTTTTAAAAAATGAATTGCATGAGGGAAAACAAAAATTATGGCTACAAAGTATTGGTCCCATCCCATGATTTTTAATAGAGAACCGAATATGACAACAATTATTAACGAACATTAAAATTCTCCACTTTCTTCGAACTCGCTACCAATTGGGACAAAAATCAAAGGAACATAATTAAAGTTGGGAATGAAAATTGAAAATTTTATAATTAAAAATGTTAAATTTTGAAAATTATATTTTTAATACGTATATTGGTGTGTGGCATTGTCAAGTCAAATTAAACATTCTCAACGTTACTTAGGGATATATAACTCTTACAATGAGATTTTTTTTTTCCGTAAAAAGTTTAAATATTATTTTTTATGATTGGATATAAAATTTTTAACTTAATTTAGTGAATTATTATTTTTTTATAATTTAATTTTAGATAAATGAGCAAATTACCCTATGAAATTTCGGTTTAATAGTATCATAGATTTTGAATTCATTTTTTGGTACAAATTGGTCTTCCAACTTTTGAAAATAGTGAAATTTGGCTTTTGCTGTTAATAAAAAGTTAACTTTAATTATTAGTTGACTAAAAAATGATAAAATTTTAAAAATTATAAAAAAGGATAAAACCTTACAATAAAAAATTCAAAAATTACATATAAGGACTCAAAATATTACAAAAAAAGGATCTAAGTTTTTCTATAATAATTTTAATCACCTCAACATGACAAGAAAAAAAAATATTTTAATCTTTTGGGAAAATGAAAATAAAATTCTTCCGAAATATATAAATGACAATCTGATTCCTTATGATGCCATAATTTCAATGAAGTTCTAAAAGACTTTTGTGTTAATAAATTTTAAAGTGAAAGGATCACTTTACCTTTATTAAAAATAATAAGTTTCAATCATAATTTTTATTTAAGAAATCAAGACTTTTGTTTTATAAATCAAAATAGTTGAATAAGAAATCACAACTTGTCAAGTGTAATTTCTATTATTAAAAAACAAGCTTCAGTTACAACTTTTGCTTAAAAAATAATAACTTTTATTCTGTGAATCACAAAAGTTGAATAAGAAATCATAATTTATCAAGTATAATTTCTATTATTGAAAAAATAAAATTTTAAAATAAAAAATTCTATTCACAACTTTTGTTTAAAGAATTACAACTTTTATTCAAAAAATCACAGGAATTGAACAAGAAAGTACAATTTATCAATAAGGGTAAAAAGGTTTTTTTTCAATTTAAAATTTATTGACAAAGAAATTCCTTGAGACTTTAGTGAAATTATGACATTTTGAGAGACCAAATTGTTATTTATATAATTTGGAGGGATTTTATTATCATTTTTCTTAATTTTTTTCTCGTCCCTTATATTTTTCAGATTTGTTAATTCCATATAATTGAAAAAAATATGAGGGTGGAAGGAGAAAAACATAGGTTTGTTTGAAACTATTTTTGTTTTAGTGCTCTAAGAAATGATATTGTATAGAACATGTTTTGAAAATAAAAAAATTAAAAATAAGTATTTTTTTATTCTCCCTTATTTTTCAAAATAAAAATTCCAAAACACTTAAAAGATATTTCATTTTCTATTCTGTAAAATAATATTTTTTTGTTTTTTAAAATATTTTTTAAAAATACGTTACCAGACAATTGTTTTTATTTTTTATTCTGAAAAACATAAAACTGTTCCCTGCTGAACAAGCCCATTTTTTTTTCCATATGTCTTGGTGGCATGAGGTTGTTAAAATTATTTAATTCCATGAAAAATATTTTCCTTTTGAGTAAATTAACAGTTTTCAATGGAAATAATTTCTTTTTGTGTTTTCAAAGCTCAGAATATAAATTTTCTTTCAATTTTTGCATGCAAAAAAGACAAAATTAATAAAAATCATTTTTTCTTTTATGAAATGAGTTATTCTCTTAAATTCTATTCTATTATTTGCGGTCTATAAAATTTTAGAAACCCAGACTAATTATTTTAAATTGGGAAATGCACAAAACGAAAGGTCAAAATTTCTGAGTGGAGAGCAATGGACCACAAAGCCACTTGCTTGATTTCATTGATTTTGTCTCCTAAGTTGTTTCTGGCAAGGACACTAATTGATATAGTGGACAATAAATTCTTTCAATCTCTTTAAAGTGTCAAATTTATTTGGCCAAAAAAGTGTCAAATTTATGAAATATTATTTTTAATGAAATATCCCCCTCCATTCCATATTTCCATTGCAGGGGTGTTAAAATTTATATATACACCCCAACCCAAAATGTTTAAGCAAAATAGATAATAATTCTATGATAAAACTATAAAATACAAATCTATTACTCCCTCTGTTGATATAAAGCATTTTTGAGGAGTTGGATGTTTAAAAATATAAGATATTTTTAATATTTTGAGGTGTAATTATTATCTTTTTTTCAAAAGCGCCCCTATTGATGAATGACTTTATATTTATTATAGTGTATTTAATAGAGGTAAATATGAAAGAGATATGATTAGTTTGAAAGTAAGTAACTACTTTATTAAGGGTGAGATTTGATTAAAAATGTTTTATATTTTTGAATGGAGGGAGTATGTCTCATTATATATAGTAAAATTTGAGAACAAAACAAATGTGTAAAAAAATTCTGTTTACACTTGTATTTATTTTACTCACCCCATGTTTGAAAATCATTTTACATGACCCATACTTTAAAAGTTTCAATTTATAAATAATAATATTAACATGTGAAAATTATTGGGTTGTGGATTATAAGTATTTTGGAAATATTATAAAAGCATTGGGGTAACTCCTTGGGTGGATTTTATATCAGTTAAAAAGATATAATTTTTATTTTATATATATATATATATGTTATTATTATTACTTAAAGTTTAATATTTCTTAGAAAGATAATGATTTTTTTACTTTATTAATAAGGCATGTCACTGACTTTTTAGAACAATTTTTTTTTAATTTTCTATTAAATATTGGGGAGAGAAAACACGTTATTATATATATATATATATATATAATATGGACAAAATTAAAAGCTTATTAATTTTTTTAAAAAATGAATGAATTTTAAGGGTTTTTTTTCCTAATGAAGTATGTTAGAAATTACTTATAAATAGTACTGGATTGGATATATAATATAAATATAACTTCTTAAGAAATTCAATTGGAAAACAATATAATCTCACTAATGGGTGAAATCTTCCAATTGATGTTAATGATGTATTGAATGGAATGTTAGATTGACAGGGACTCATAAACTCACGAAATGGTGGCGTGGTCCTCTTTTTAATATGAAACAACTTAAAGATGTCACTGTTTTTTTTTTTTTTTGGCAGAAGAATCAAAAGAATATACATATGCACTTTGATTTTCTGATATTAAAGATTATACTCTCATTATCGAGATCCTGATACCATGTGAAGGACTCATTCAATGAAAGCTTAATGGATTAAATAAATGCCCGCAAAATTGTTTATGATTTATTTATAATATTATGATAATAAAAGTATACATTTAATCTTTTAATTTTATCAATTTCATTTTAATTATTTAACTCTAATGCTGTTAGTTTTATTAATAAAAATGTTAAATGTTTATATAATATTCTTAAATATTAATATATTAAGTTTAATTGTTTAAAATAACGATGATTGGTATAAAAAATATTATTTAAAACTAGGGAACCAAAAATATAATTTATAAAATTAAAGAATTAAATCAAAACCTTATATAAAATTATAGAATTAAATATATACTTTTTCTTTTTATAAATATGTGAGTTCAGAGAAGAGAGAGTACTAAGTATAACATTTATCTCACCATTTATATATTTGTTTAAATCAGGTGAGCTCTTGGCCTCTTTCTCATTGCAATTTAATTCTGCACTCAAGCTATGCTTGCTACTTTCAATTTAAAAAAAAATCATTTAAATGAACTCTTTTTTTTTTTTTTCATGTCCTCTCATTAATTTTTCTCCATCAAAACATGGCTGATAAAAAATTAAAACCAAAATCAAAATTTCTCTTATTTTCTCTTCTCTGTTCTTGATTAATCTCATCACCATTTTTTTAAAGGAAATTTAGTTCCACTTTTTCTCTTAAAACTGGAGCCATTTCATTTTAGATATCTTAATTTAGATTTTTTTTTGGGTCTGAACTTAATTATGTAAAATTAATGTCTTGCTAAAATGGTTGCTTGACCACAAGTGAACTGACAGCACTAAAATCATAATTACAATAATAAAACACACCTAATAAGAAAAAAATTGACTCATAAGAGAAAGAAATCATACTACTAATCAAGACTGGTCTAGTTAGTAAAGACATATATCTTACATAAATACGTGCTCAAACCTGTCCCATGTGAAGACTTTGTTAAGGAATAGTATGCAAATAGTTTTATAAGTGTTCTTTGAATAGTAAAGCCTGCCTTGGTCATTTTATCCAGAAAACAAAAATTAGGTTGGCCTTAGTCATGATGAGTCTCAACCCAGCTCGAATAAACCTTCCTTTTCAAAAGTAAAATAGATAAAAAGGTGCAAAATTGAGAAAATGAAATGGACACAAATTGAAAAAAATTATTTTATAGTGAAGTACTATGAAAAATCCTCAAAAAGAAAATTATTCATGTTGAATATATTAGATCCGTAAAAGATATGCATAGAAGGGCAACAATTAATTTGAAAATGTTTGAGTTAAAATAAAGGACATATATCAAGGATCACTGTTAAGATCTACAGTTTTGAATCGGTTGCGATTTTATTGTGTTTTTTAAGGTCAAATGTAGCCGATTAGTTCATTATACCATTCACAAGCAAAGGCACAAAAATGCAATCTCTGGAAGACAAGAAAATAAAAGAGGACCCACGAGTGCAATATTCAAAACCCCATTTAAAAACTAGCTAATCTTATTAAAATTTAAGAGAGATCATCAACATTACAGATAATTTACTGCTTAAAACTCAGTTTTCGAAGCCTCAGAATTAAATAACTTCATAGTTCCTCGTTTGCTCCAAGTCTCTCATCCACAAAATCCAGACTAACTCTATTGCTCAACACTAATGTCCCTTAAATGAAAGTGGAAGCTTGCAACATCCCACACAGGACAGAGATAGGAGTGCCCAGCAAATGATGAGATGCTCAAAGCAGACAGCTTGTAAAAGTGAAAGTTAAATTATAAATGTCATATAAATTTGGCATTTCGAATTCCAGCTAAACTCATCCACTTACAATTTACCTGCATCTTCTCTGTGACTTCTATCTTCATCACAGTCATTGCCTTACTTGCATGTGGAAAATGGGCTAATACTGCTATAATTCTGCCACGCCATTTGTTGGGAACTCCTAATGATGCTACAAAAACTTGACTTTCATAAAAATCTTCACTAGTTAGAACCCAGAGCTGAGCTGTCATGTCTACAGCTCAGCTTTGGATTCCAAGTCATCCTTGACCAAATCTTCATTAGTTGAATCCTTTGATTGGTTCGGGGCTTGCACAGGTTCTTGATCCTCCCCAAAGATTTTGGCAGTAAATCTTCTTGCCTCTGCATCGAGGTCCGGCCACTCAGCTACTATTCGCCGAGCACCCTGATAATCAATCAAAGTAAGGATAAGCCAACGTAATCTAGAGAATGGAGAAGAGTACGACATCTGCAGTGATCGGTTGTGAGTTCCAATGACTGAAAATTTCAATAGGCATATATTTACCTTAAGTTTGGGTTCTTTTGTCATGGGATTGTTGCAAAGATCAATCGTTTTCGCCTTTGATTTTGTAGCATTACCACACCATGACTCACACCAAAGCCATTCTTGAGGCAAAGAAAAGATGGGCACGTTATGCTGAGCATAATTGGGAAGATCCTGAATCATAGAGGGAAAAATTCGGTAAAAAGAAAAAAATAGCACAGCAAGTGCTGTCCATTGCACTAAAAATAATGAAAGCAGCCAAGAAAAATGTGCGATGAGAGGAACGGGGAATATATTCCCATAAAAGGATCATATATTGAAATTCTAGTCATTTTATAAAATCAACTTTTTAGTTACCTTCAATTATACGTTCAAGTGGTATTGGAGCTTTATAAATTGATTCTTATGGCACTCAATCTAACAGATAACTTCGCTAAATTGTATTTTGCTTCAATGCAAATAGGCTTACTTACCATGTTATAAGAAACCATCTTATCTTGGTTAACAAATTAATTTTTTAAGTGATTCTTTGATAACTAAATAAATAGTGACTTTATGTAGTCCATCTATTACCTGATCCAGGTTGGCTAGACTATTGGGATCCTTGCTGAGGGTTTCATAGAAAACTCTAAGATTATCTCCAGCAGCAGTCTCTCGGAACTTCTTCAGATCGACAACATACAAAGCACTGCCAAAAAAATAGCAACAATCAAAGAAATGATTCTTGATAAAATTCAACTCTTGTTGAGAATGGGAATTGCAGTTACTAACCTAATATGGTATGGTTTTCCCCGCAAATGATCCTTCCAGAAACCCTACGAGACAAAAATAAGGCAAAGATTAAGCACAATGTTGCGTCTACATAGAAATGAACACTAAGTACATGGAATTTGAAACGCAATTATCAACAACATAAATAATTTTGAATTCAATAATGGCATTACTTGTCTCCAAAATCGATAGCCATCCATTTCCTTATTATTATCACAAAAAGGAGTATATGCCAGAGGCCTTCCTTTCAAATCCATGTCATAGAGTTCTCCCATGTCTGCCCTCACAATTTGATCGGCATCGACAAATATGACCTGCAAATATGGACAGATTTCATCTTTAGGCGATACCATGGAACAAAACTCAGGACTTCGATGCTTAAAAATCACCATACCTTCTCCAAGGAAAGGGGAAAGATGACATCAAGGAATAAGATTTTATATGCCCAAATTATCCTCTGCTTTTCTTTCTGCTTATGCAACCATGTAGGCCATTTGTATGTGATTAGTTCATATTCAAACCCATATTCTCGAGCCATGTGGGGAATAACGTCCTGTGTTAAATTAACAACCAAAAAGTTCAAGGATGTCAGATAATCATCATTTATTCTTATTTAAACTCCCAACATACAAATAACTTGGGTGGAACCACATATATATAAGATGGACATAACCTTAAAAGGAGGAGAGAGGTAGTTCTTTATAAACCAGAATTTCACGGGACGATTGGTGTTCTTTAGAACACTAAGAATCATAATCTTCAGAAAGCGCTCATATCTGGCAAAAATAAATCAACCATCAGATAAGTGGGGGGGGGGGGGAAGAGTTGTGATGAGAGAAATTACATAACCCTACACCACATGATAATTTTAGTCTAAAACTAAAGGATGGAGCTATATTATAGATATCTAGGAAACTTTTGTCTGCAGAATCGCTGTTAGGTAAGTCCATGGAACTGCTATTTTTGTGCAGGAGCTTGGATCAATTTGACTATCTAAAACTTCTCTAGTCACTGGCATGAGAATCACAAACCATATAATAAACCTTTAGAATGCGGCATCTCAATAAAAAGGGGGGAAATAAAAGAAAGGAAGAAAGAGAGCTTTGCAAACTGTAGAATGGATGACTGCATGCGCTATATACTTGTAATATAGTTATTAGCTAACTTTCGCGTCACCTTGCTTTTGGGGGGGAAAAGAGGATACTCTTGTAATAACAAAAATGAACATCAGCTTAAAGAGTAAACGAGTCCCCTTTGCACAAGACAACAAAAGCTCCATTTTGAAACCTACTACATCCAAGCAACCAAACTTAGCTGAAGGTTACCTAATGCACCATGCTCCTTTAAAGAGAGGAATGGTGCACACTCCCAAGCACCTTATTTTCCTTTCAGGACCAAAAATTATGAAAATGACTAGAAAAGATGACTTTCAAATCAGGCGCATTTATCTATTGCTCTTCAGACAGAAAAACAGCATAAAAGATAAAATTGATAGAGACATGCATGTGTTAATAGTGCATCGAGCTATGCAACAGAAAGAGCAAACAGAAAGTACAAGAGGGGTGGGGGCTAATGAGAGGAGTGATGGGTCCCATGCTTCGCTACTTGGTCACATGGGTGGAAGAGAAGGAATTCTGTTACAGGTAATCAATACTCATGGGAGGTTGTCATCAGATAGGCAAGAAAGTCAATTGGCTTAAGTGAGCCTCTGGTCTCTGGAACACTAGTTAACATTTTCCTTTTCTTTTTGCATGTCTTTTTACAAGCACTAGTGCTGCATAATCACCATTGGGTAGGAATTGCACACTTAACATAAATAATATGAGCATTCCAGTGGTTCTTATCAATTTCTCATTAGAAAATGAAGCAGACAGACAGTTGCGAAATGTGCATAAAATGATTACATGAAAATTAAAGGCAAACTTTCAGATCAAGCTAAAGCAGGAGATCCACTTACAAGTGCCCAGAAGCAATGGAAAATATATTGATAGTTTTTCCACGCCGTCCACCCTTGCCTTTCTCCTGTTAGAGAAAACAGTTTAATGTCACAAAATGGAAAATAAAATAAAATAATAGGTCCACAAAACAAAAGAAAAAAGGTACAAGGGAAGCAGATTGAGAAATGGGGTGGGGATGAAAAACTTCAAAATTTACAATACTTTTATTGTTGAATACAACTTCATATGATAATGGTTTCTCACTGAAGAACTAAAACTGTAGCTATATATTGATAGCATTACAGAGATTCATTTCACGCAACAAAGGATTATAGATCAATCAATTAGCAGATTTTTATAACAATGATGGTTGATTTTTTTAGTTTGTAACTTAATATACACAAACGCTGTTTGATACACCTGTAATCTCCATCCTCATATTTCAGATGTGTCAAGAAGAACCTTAGATGCCTGTGTCCAATAAACTAGATCACAGGCATAAGATGCCACCATTTTAAGTGTCATACCAAACAAGGGAACGTAAAACACCATGGTTTTTATAAATCTCAGTAACTTTAGCATTCAACATATCAAGGAATACAAAACCAAATGGCTTCTAAGGTTTTTATGGAAATCAATAAAACCAAACAAATCCCTGCAAAAGGGAGAGGAAGAAAAAATGGGGAAAATAATGTAAACTCACTGGTGGGCTGCTGTCAGTATTTTTAGCTTGTTCACTGCTACTCATGAAACCAGATGCCCATTTTAATAAGTTGGAATTCCAGCTACTTCCCTGCAAAATCTCAAATAAAAATCTGTGAAGGTATGTCCTAGCCTTTCTGGACAGTCCTTTTATTTGTTTCAGGTTATTAACATGTATATTTCCGAATTTCTTTCTTCACAAAAACTTGCACTCACTTTCTTCTTATCTTGTAGACTGTTATCGTCATCAGGAACCAGCAATTTCTCAAGTTCCTTGCCCTTTTTCCTTATTACCTCCATTTGAACAACTTTCCCCCGTAAATCATCAATTGTAACAAGTTTTGATGACAGTTTACCCCGACTTTCATTGCCATCTTCCTTTACAATATAGAGCTCAGAGCTTCTACCAGGAGCAAGCTGCAAATACCAAACTCCAGGAGAAACTTTCATCTGCCAGTAGCCAAGATTGGCCATCACAAGTGTATCAACTAAATGGGGTGTACTCTTTGTTCCAAGAATCAATTGAAGACCTCGAGGAGGATCATGATCCTTTTCAGAACAATGACCTGGTCAGATGAAATTTGGATAAGAATACAAATAAATTTGCAGACAGAATTCCTTAATAACAACAGACCCAGTGAGATGAAAATTTTACAAGTGTGTGTATGTGTGTTTGATCTTCACACCATTTATGTGGCAGTTAGCAATATCCACTTAAAGTGCTTTGTCCAAATGGCCCTCAATATCCCCCCGAAAGAAACACACACACACACACAGTATTTAGATCATTTTGTTATCACAAAGACATAATAATGAAGAGTATCTAGGTTATTTTCCCAAGGCACAATCAATGCAAGGACATGAGAAAATGACCTAAATTCCCCTAAATTCATTTTCTTCTACTGGGATTGAAGGAGATAAGGCTAGTTGTTAAAAGCTTAGTTGATGACAGAGTACAATGGCGTCATACAATCCATGTAGCCAACACCACCAACTGGGATAAGACTTACTGTCGTCATCGTTGTCATTCTTGTTGGGATTGAAGGGTTTTAGGTAAAAGCATCTTATGTGGAGGAAGGATGAGGTTATTTCAGAACATACAGTAAGATTTAAAGTTTTAACCATGATTCACGTTGTACCACAAAAAATTGCACCAATCCAACCTTTCTATGCTTCATCAATATATTCGAAAGATTAACACATAATATGGTTATCAAATATAAAGAGACAATTAACTATTTGATAACATAATTATAGATATCTATTTCTTTCTAAAACTTTACATACAAGACAATCATGATATTTACTTTAGTTCAACAGTTAAATCAATGAAAATCGCTTCCTAAAAAATAAGTGCATCACTTCAAGAACCAGTGTTGATTGATACCTCCACACACACTTTTTGGCCTTTGAATAGCTTAAGTTTTGGGGAAAAAAGGGGGGGGGGGAGTACTTGAGAGTTGAAAAGTGCTGTTTGGTGTGATGGTATATTCTCAGTAAGCAAATAAAGTTACCGGTAAGGACAAGGGCTTCAAGTTCAAATACAGCTTGCAATGTCCTTGTGTCACCAAGGTTCTCGAGCAAAATGTTGTCCAGGTCATGGCTGCAATAAGAGAAATATTACTAAAGACTACTAAAATTCACCCAAAAAAAGAAAAAGTTTATTGCGTGTGCAAACACATGCATATAAACATTCAAGTAGCTTGCACAAATTGCCTAAAGTTCAAACATAATCACGCATGCTTCTCTCTTATTTCAGAAATAACACTCCCTTGTACCAACATAAATGTTACCTATCTCATAGGTTTGTGCTTGGGCAAAAATTAACATGTTATAAGCCTAAAAACGCAAGATTTGGGAATCCCATTTAAAAAAATGACGGACCTAAGGCTTTTGAGGTTCAAGAGTACACAGACAAGCCAAAAATAAAAAATGTTGTGACCTATGGCCACTGAGATTGTGGCAATCTTAACCAAATAGCCAAAGGTATACTGGTGATATATGTACATTAGACAAGCCCAAGCCTATACAATAAGTTAGCAATAAATATAGATTCACTGTTTATACTTGCCACTATTTAAAATATAGATTCAAGTTTAAACTTCAGATGCCCCACCCCCCTTTGCTTGCCTTCACACCATCCATACATACATATATATTGCCCTTTTGGAAGATAATGGTTCTCTTGAAAAAAAAAAAAAGAGCAAAAATGTTAAAACACTACAAAATATGGATACTTGAAGGATGAAAAAGTTATGTCCATATTCAATATGTATTAGACACCAGTATTAGATATAAGCCCAAACTTTGTCATACCACCATGTCAAGATTGTGCCCTATGTCTAAGTTAGTATACATGCTTCTAAGGTCAAACATGGTATGATGATAGCTTAACATCTCTAAATTCAAATATCAACTAACGGAAGAGGTTATTGTTATGAGAAAATTAAAAATAAGAAAGACACTTTAATAACCAATGAATGTGGGGTCAAGTGAAAGGGGCTAGTCCACCATAATGTGATGAACTAATATTTGAATCTCATGAGGAAAAGCGTCCACATTCTGTGCTCGACTATGCCTTAAATAGAATTGCCTCTAATAAGAGGACACTTGTACACAATCAAAACAGAATAAAGAAAGATACTTTAATATGATGTTCCTACACTTACACTTTCACTGCTTTTACACTATTAGAAATAACATATGGGTGAATCCAATCTTTCTAAATTTCTTCTAGTTATTGAGTGTCGTTTTCATGCTTGATAGTTGAAATGAAATTCGCACAGTTCATAAGATGTGAATAGTGTGAATTTATGTGCTGCATGTCCTAAAATTTTTTGGGCTCCTCCTTTCCAATGTGGATAAAGTCCACCCTGATTAAACCTTCTACTTTAACACAAGTAGACATAACATATAGATAAATCCAGTATTCAACAAATTAGAGAAATGTGTTGAGGATGACACATACACTGCAATAACGGGCTCAACAAGCCAAGGCTCAGGAACATCAAGATTCATGGTGAGAGTCTTTGACAAGGGCATGTTAGCAAAAAATGCTTTAGGGCCATTTATTGCAGAGTCAGCATTGCTAAAATCATCCTACACAAGAAAGGAAGCCTAAGAAACCAACATCAAATATCATATCAGGTTTATCAAAAAGATAAAAGTAAAACATATACCATTGTGGGAACTACATATCTGTAGTAACTCTTCAAAGGAAGATCAGCAAGGGAACTCTGGCGTGAAATGAGAAATAGCATTCAACATTGTGAGGATAAGATTCACTTGAGCATTCTGTTGCAAGTGAACTAAAAATATAGCTCATAGAAAACACAAGTCACTTCCTTAACATACATAAGGAATACATGTCACAGGGTCAAGGTTGAAGGATTAATAAAAACCAAATGTACATCTAGAGAAAGAAAGTTGGCATTGCTACATTTTTTTCCCCACTGGACATTAATTTGTGAACAATGGAATCTATACAGGAGAAAACAAAAACACAGTCATTAAAATACAAATCCTGCCACACATCACTTTTACAATACAGGGTGAAGGATCTATAAAAACCACATGTACATCTAGAGACAAAAAGCATGTATTGTTTTCTTTCCAATGAAAATTAACGATTATAATATGTAAACATTGTGATTTATACAAGAGGCAAGCATTATGAATAGTCATTGAAATGCAATTTCTGCACATAGCACCTCTAACTCAACAGCAATGATTCTATAAAGATGAAATGTTATACTTTCCTTTTAGTTTAGATATATTTTTCCAAATATCAAATCATATAACCAGGGCCTTACAGTTCAATCTAATAATTACAGAAGTGGACTGGGTGAGCTACTCCTACAAGCTAGTACATGAAATGTGAACAGATCAAATCAAAGATAGTATTTGTGAAAATTAAAGTTTTAATGAAAAGGTTGATTAACAAATGCCCAAAAACACAATTGTATGACAGAAGGTCTAGAGTTCATCAAAGGCAAATTTACCATTTAAGCATATGAACAACTCTTGGACTGTTGTCATCTAAATTCTAGATGAGCATAGGATTCTCTATCGATTCCTCATCTCAAAAGCATAAAAGACACTTCAAGCATGACATGAACACAGATAATATAATGAAAAAACAGTATGTTTGATGGTTATAAATGTGGGTAGAACAATAGATATCAACTGACCAATGGATTCAATACAATCCTCATGCTGGGTTGTATGTATTTCCACAGGACTTGAAGAATTCCAGATAACCTTTGGCTGGTTGGGCTTAACGGATCAAGAACAGCATCAATATGAACACTCGAATTTTCATTATTTAGAATAATGGCACTGCAGAGAACAAACAATGAAATATTATTATGAACAACAGGGTGCAGCTAAATCAGCAGTCAGTATCAGGAATGCATCCTAGGTATGCATCCTAGGTAAAAATTACCTATGTTGATCTTGCAATATCTCAAAACGAACATTTTCAGAACTCCTACTCCTTGTAGCCATTGAAGACGATAAGATCATGATGACATCACTAATGAATTTACTGCTGGCAAAAAAAGCAACCTTTCAATAATTATTTGGCCCAAAAAAGATAAAGGTTGAACAATTATTAGTCTCTATTGATAATACTATAAATAATAGCCAAGTAGCATCACAATTTCCATATAAAAAAACAAAATTATAACTTATAGCACACAAAGCGTGATAGAATGATAAATTAAATCAATAAGGCAGAATGATAGAAACATAAGAAGCAGATTAATGTAGTATAAATGGCATATAACAAGAATATGACAGTCGTAAATCAAAAGTCAATACACACATTATCTGTAATCATGGACCAATGTGATTGAATCACACATCTACTGGTTCTGTAATAACGCAAGGGAAAAAAAAGCCCTTAAATCTACATATATATAATATTAATAAATAAATGAAAAAACACACACAGGCAGCAGATGTTTCATTCTCTTTCTCCCATTTCTTTCCATTTCTTTCATGATCTCGAATTGCAGCAATTAGAGAGAGAGAAAGAGAGCATGAGAGAAAAGCCATGTCCTTCCTTCCCTTTGTTCTTCCTCTTCCGATCACTTGTTAGTTGCCGGTGACCGTGTTGCAACCATCACTACCGTGGAGGTCCATTCATGTAGTCTTCTTCCTCATCCACATTTCTTGTCGTCAGTCTCTCTCTTCTTCCCTCTTTAGTTGTTGCAGTGAGGTACTGAGTCATCCTTGTCTTAGTGGTTCAGCACTTGTTCTTCCTCCTTCCCTTAGCTTGATTAGGTGTGGGTATGCTTGAAACCTCTCCTCCTTCTTGATTGGGTGTCGGTTGCAAAAACTTTTTGTAGGCTGACATGACTTAAGATGTCTATTCGCATGGTTTTTCCATGGCCTTCTATTCCCAAAAAAAAAAAAAACAAAACAAAACAAAACAAAAGAATTTTTTTCTGCTGCCGTTCATTCGTGTGTGCAAGTGTAGTGTTTGGGTTGTTGAAAAATTTGGATCGTTCTCCCCATTCTTGTTGATGCATGAAATAAAAAGTAGATGGAATTTAATCACGTTGGAACTTAAAATTTAAAGGGTGCATTTTGATAGATAATTTCCCTTGAATTATTTTGATTACTATAAGAGGAAAAAAGTGGGTATAGAATCTATCTTTTCTTGAGCCTAATTTGACTTTGGATGGGGAGTTTGAATTGTACTGTATAATATTGCTATTGGAACTGTAGGGGCAAAAGATTGAAGGTTAAAAAGATTAATTGATTGAATTAGAAATTTATGCATGCTAGGTGTTTGTAAAAAGGTCAAAGGATTATATTCTAATAATACAATTAGTTGGGTTAAAATGATATGAGAATTTGGAGACTCAAATGGTGATGAAGGATGAACTTTGACTTGTTCAACTTTATTATGGTTGTATTACTGTGGCAAGAGAGTTTGTTTAATTTGTAAAAAAATATATTAAAATTATATTATGTTTGATGAGCTCATTAGAAGAGAGAAAATTTGATTGAAATTGGGTGATATACCAATTAAATAAATAATGTTTCCCAATAATTAAAAGTGACGGTCTTTCCCTTACTTTGTTTTTTGCTTATTCTACATAGATTTTCCTGCTCTCTACCTTTACGATTAAGTTGATTTAAAATATATAAATATCTTATTTATTATTTGAATTTATTTATGCAGTTATTCTCATGGCATTTTATTTTTCTAAAAGTATTATGAATGCATGGACTAGATGAATTACTGACGAAAAAATCATTTATACCTTACAAATGGACAATTTGAACTATAAGGACTTTTAAACTCCATGCATGCCATAAATGTTTTATAGGATTAAATACAAAATGTTTGTTGCTAACAACAATTTCATTAGCTCTTGACACAACATGACACACCTAGCTAACAAGGTACATTAGAGGAACTAGTCTCGTATGTCAGCCAAGACATGTGGAAGGGAGAATGTAATTTCATGGATATATAATCCACGCTTATTATTCGTAAGCTTTATACTTGTGCCTATTTTTCATGTCTTATTGCCACGCCGGATATGTTACTTATTCTTGTGGATTGTGTGCCCACACTTGATACTCGTTCTGTTAAACTCCTAATAAAGAACAAGTTTTCAAGCTATATTTTCATTTCCAAAAGATGAATTGTATTATTATTAATTTAAAATAATATATATATATATATATTTGTTTTATAGTGTAGTTATGATTTTTCGTTGTCTCTTTACTATTATTGTCATCAAGTTAAGAGACTAATGATAAATTATACTGTTGATTGTCTAGTACCATTAGCAATTATGTCTGTCTATTTATTTCTAATATATATATATATATATATGTTGATGATTATTGTTCCTATTATTATTAATACTTGGGGACGTTATTTACAAAAGAACTTTTGGTATTTAGATAGTAGAAGTGGATCCACTCTTCAACAGACCTAGTGGGACTCCTTGAGACAAGATGCATTTTGTTGCTCTAATTAACTTGTAGATTAATGTAAATATTTAAGCATTTTGTTTTTGTTCTAGAGTTGCTCCACGAATCCTATATGCAAGATCCTTGTTTTAAGTATTTTGGCCTGTACATATATACTATTATAGAGCAAAGCTCTGTATGTTGTCTAAATACTCCCTCCGTTTCTATTTGTAGGAAAAACTACCACTTTTTGCTTCTTCTTTTTTTTTATATAAGCAAAATCACCTATTTCAATAAGTATTTATTACACATTTCCTAAATCACCTCTCATAATTTACATTAACGAGAAATAATTAATGCATGCTTATATTGATTAACATAGGGCCTTTTAATCTAATTTTTTTACTTTCAAACATAATTATTATGGTTAACCAACTTTCTTAAACTGTGTAATATAGTTTTTTTTCTCTTATATATAGAAACAAATGGAGTATTATTCTTGGCAGGTTGTATAGATTTTGGAAAGTCCAACTTATAGGGGAGACTTTGCCGAAATTTCTACAAAAAATTTGTATATTTTGTTCCTTTTAGCTTATGTTTATCAATATAAATCATGGTAGTATGACAAATTGGTAATTAATATGTTAGGTATTATATGAGTTCAGGCTCATTAAATATGAATTTTTCTTGTATTCCAACCTTTGTTTTAAAAACCAGACAGTCAGATTGATTGAATTGTAGACAGGAGCCGTTAATGGTTTGGTTTGGACCAAAAATCTGTTTTGATAACTAAACTAGATTGGACCAAAGTTGAGCCGTTATTAAACTGAAAATTGAAGTTGAACCAAAAACTAGAGCAACTTTCAGACAATCGAACGGTTTTAAACATAATATTTAAAAAAGCTTAAAAATTAAAAAAAACTAGAAAATTCAAAAATTAAATCCCTACCAAAAGTCAACTTTATTTTTGGACAATTCACGCGTACAAAATATGATTTGAAACTATTTTTTTACTAAAGATGTTGACAGTTATAGGTGCAAGTATAGATACTTTCGAGTCTATTTATATCTGATTTAACCAAGATTCACCTATATTTGACAATTTATAAATTATAATTTATAATATTGCCAATTTACGGTTATGTTATGTCATTTTATTAACATACTATAGATTTGTTTCTTATATTTATCTTATATATACAATATTACTTTTATTTAATTATTACAACACCAATCCAACCATTGGTCTAACCAGTTAGATCATAAAAACCGAGAATCATTGAATTTTCCGATTCAACATCCAGTTTAGCTTTTAAAAACATTGATTCCAAACTGGCCAAACTATTCACTTAAATATCCAACAAATCTTATCCACTAAGTGAGGTTGGCTATATGAATTGCATTACATCATTATGCTCTATCATCAACCAAGTCTTTGGAAATATAGTTAATCAAGAGGTCTTGTTCAACAACTTCCATAAATGTTCTCTTAGTTTTCCTCCACTTATATATCCACCAATGAGAAATTATGGATCAGGTAAAGAAGGATCCACATTTAAATTATGGATCAGGTAAAGAAGGATCCACATTTTACTGGGCAGATAATAGATATCCAGTAGAGCACCAATTCAACCCACCCAAAATACCCAAAACCTACCAGTAATCTACCATTACACAGATCTAAATCAAGTAGCATCATCCTCTGCTTCTACTCAATGCACAAAATCACTTCAGCGGCACTATAGTCACCACAGACTCCCTATGCCCACTGCAAAATTCTGTTCTTGGTCTTGATTGGTCAATCATGCAGAACTACTTCCACTACTCATAGTTCTAGAGCGGGAAAGGGCATGAAAGTTTGAGGAATTGAAAGAAAATGCACCTTCTGTTTGTTTCAGGTCTTTAATGCAGTGTTCTATCAGCACTAGCAATGCACCCTGTTCAGGATTTCAATTGCTAAGTCATGCTGAACTTCTCCCAACAATCACAGTGCTATAGTGCATAGGAGTTTGAAAATTTGAAGAAAAGGGAGAAAAAGGGCCTTCTCTGTTTGTTTGGGTGCACAAGTCTTTTGGACAACAATCATCCTCCGCTTGTCCAAATATAATCTGTTTCTTTTTAGCATCCTATTCTTCTGATTCAAATTGATTTTGGGACTTCTAAACCGATTGTTTTGTCTTCTGTGAATTTGGATGCGTTCTGCTCAGTTATTGTATGTGTATCATGGATGAAATTAAGTTCATTTCCTGGAACTAGTACATTTTCGTTTTAGTTATTCTTCTTTGGCGGTCATACTGAAAGTGTGTTGGTGCATATATGAATACTATGTCCATCAAATTGAAGCCTGAACAGTAATGTTAATTAAACGTGACATGATCATTTAATTTTCATCATGATAATTAAATTATGCATTCTAATAAAATATTAAACTGATTAGCCGATTAGATTGGATGCATTGGATATCCATCCAAAAACATACGGGTCAATCAGTAGAGGGATGCCCATCAAGAAAGCAGCTCAAGGATGGATTCGGATTATATAAGGTTTTCCTAATTTATCACTGCTAGGTGCAGTTAAACACTATCTAACTAAGAGAAGACATAATCTACTCATTTCCATACAATGTTTTAAAGTAATGTTGACTCTTATGTTGAATTATCTGTGTTGTTTTCAGACAACTCATTTTCCACCGAACAACCACTAAATGGATTAGAACTTTCAAATCTTTCTACTTCTGATGCGAGACTCAAACAGAAACTAAAGAATGTCAATTTTTTTAATAAAAAATTGAACTAAGAAAGACAAAATAAGTACGGCATAGAGGATATTATATCCTCATAGGACAAACATCCAAGAGGAAAAAACAAGAAACAGTAAAGCTTATATCAACAAACCTTGTCATCAAGTCAGGGTCAATATCCTGCCATTTCACTTCTTCAATAATTTCCAGAATGTGTTTGGTCCTCTGCTTAAACTCCACCGATTCAAGAAGATGCAAATCATCACTTAGAAATGTACTTTCATCAATAGGATAAGTAACCTATAAAACAAAAATATTAAGGTGAGAAAACAGAATGACTGGTATGCACATTTGTCAATGATGATGTATTGACATCAAATTTGGTGGAAAAAGAAACAAACACTACTTAAAAATAAGCAGTGAAAATCAATACTTATAATTGGTCAACAAGGACAGCATATAGCCAGAAACATTAGAACAGCCTTACCCTTCCATTAGTGATGACAGCATTGACACCCGATTCCAGCCCAAGTACCCAATACAAAAATGTCCCCACCTGGTGACAGGTAGACACTTCTATAAATTTTCATTATTCCAATTAAGTAAATGAAAAAGGATTAGAGATTGGGTCTCATGCTGTACAAACTTCCATGAAATTAGTCAATGAAGAGGTGCAATAGGAGGGGGAGTAAGAGCAGCTGAGAACAATATCCATCAGCTTCTAATATCAAATAAAAAAGTTGACAGAAAGTTGAGGCAGGGGAGGGGGAATCAGTTGGTCAGACATGCACCAGAATGCAATTGTCCATATGGCAAAGCAACAGGGAGTACCTTAATCAAATGTTTTCTCACTTCATCAGCAGAAAATTCTTGAAGGGCAGATCTATAGCCCTTAGATGGTAACCCATTAGCCTCAGCAAGCTCATAGACCTTATCAATTAATGCTTTAGTGCTGTCAGCTGCCACAACTGATGCAAGGATGTAGTTCTGCTCATAGAATGAGCAAAGTTGACCCAAGAAATCCAATACATTCTTCTTATGGCTGTATAAATCCACGCATTAGAATATCTCATATACAAACAGTACTTTAACTTTGAACAGGAAACTGGTATTGAGAAACTATAAAATTAAATGCTAATCAACATGCAGAAACTCTAAAAAAAACAAACAAACAAACCTATATGAGGATGCAGTGATTTCAAAAGCCTTAACAAAATGAAGGCTAGACAAATCAGCACTCTGGTTGGCACTAAAGAGAACACCTACTCGAGCACTTTTAGACCCTTCCGTCTGCACCATATTGTGGAAAACTAAGGAACTTTACAAATCATTAAGCAAAAGCAGAATCAAGAAAATTTAACAAAAGTGATGATAATGACCAGGTAAAATAAGCCTTGGCGAAGCAATTTCATCCCACTCCTTGAGGTGATATCAACAGCAAGAAGATGAGTAACAGACTTCAAATCATCAATTGCTGGGTTGAAGGGGGGAAAAACCATCATGTGAAGACAAAAGAAACAGAATGCAAGAATGAACCTATTATTTTAGAGTGTAAATAACTCACTTCCAGGTGAATGCAAGTAGTTGATGTCATTTGCCAAAGATCCCTCTCCAAAATTGAACATAGAAAGGGATGTGAATCTTGGTTTACTATCAGAAATAATCTAAGACAGGAACATGCAAAATGGGTTAGTCAGAGTTCTTACAAAAGAATCCTAGAATTTAACAGATCTAAAAATTATACCCGTGGATTATAGCGTTGAATGCCAGCTTCTGATAGGAACTTAGCCAACACATCAGTGTGAGAATTTATATGTCCAAAATACACTTGCTCCTGTATTCTTGGAGTCTCATCGTTCAAGGCATTTATAAGAGCCTCCTGTTAACATCAATTGCAAAAGACAAGTGTTAAAAAAGTCATTCCACCAAAAGCCAATGAAATACTCAATATCAGGACAATTTCAAATAAGAAATCAGGCAGCAAGGCAGGGGGAACATTTCAATATCTAAGGCTTTACCTCAGTTGGTTCAATAACAAGTCCATTCATCAACAGAGAACATTGTAACTTAGACAAACCAAGCTTAAAGACAAACATGGAGCTTTCTCGTGATAGCTCCTTCAACTTTTCTTCCTTCTCCAGCTTTAGTAATATCTCATTAGGTGGAGATTTGGCCTTTGGTCTACAGAAATTATAATGACTTTAAATCAGGGAAACCTATGTCTAATAGATAAAATAGAAAATAATTAAACACAGAATGTTACTGCAAGTATAGAAGCACCATGATAGAGAAATAGCAAGAGCACACAAGACCATAAGAAATCTACGAAACTCACAAAATTGTATCGACAAATGCTCCTTCAACATGGTGCACTTCAAGGGCATCTTCAGAGACATCTGACTCAATGTGCAATTTGTTTACCTATGATGATGGACAATAGAAGTCCTTCAATAGGATTGCAAAAAAAGAACAATTTCAAATTTCTCAACAACTGTCAACTTTTGTTAAAAAACAGTCCATGGAGAGAGGTAAACCACGGAGTAAGAATACTTGAACAATAGGTTGATGAGTCATTTTGGTAATTATCCATTATAAATACAATAATGAGTATCTAGACAACTGAATAGATCAAAACAGAGGGGGGAAACGTAATTAATAACATCTTCATCTCAGGTTTTCAATAAATCAAATGCATGAATTAGTGATTTACATGACTATGAGATGAATTATGCAATCTCACTTACCAATAACTAATAAGCACTAATCAAGTAATGGTTGTTCTAAGGGAAAAAAACAATTAATCATAAAAATGATTTATAAACTTTGTATCCAGATAGAGAGAGTTATAAACTAAAGACCAAACATAATCCAAAATTTTTACATGCATAAACATGATTTGTTTTTTCTAAAAAAAAAAAAAAGAGTCGTCTCCTTCCCCCCATGTTTATTATTGGTTAAGAAGCCAGAAACAACTAGCCAACTGGCACGGTAGGAACTTTTTTCTTGTACTTTAATATACTTGTATTTCTAAAGTACAAATTATCTAGAAAAATTATATTATAGTATTATATATTACAATATATAAGAACGGATAAAGAAACAGTGAATAATAAAGGTCACCATATGAAGTTATGCATTGGGTTGAATCAGCTGATTTAGCAGATTCTAATCTTCAGCTAAAGATGACAAAGCTAATTTCAAGATACATGGACAAAATCAAGTGTGCAGCATATAACAGCATCTTTCAATTCTCTTACTGATATGCATTCTGATTTTCAGTCATCTACTTGCATACAACAACAACAACAACAACAAGCCTTTATCCCACTAGGTGGGGTCGGCTACATAGATTGCAAGACGCCATTGTACTCTATCATTTATTAAGCTTTTAGAAATATTATTAATTAAGAGATCACGTTCAACAACTTCCAAGAGTGTTCTCTTAGGCCTTCCTCTACCTCTCTTAATCGGACTCAAAGTTATATGTTTTACTCTTCTCACTGGTGCCTCCCTTGGTCTTCTTTGTACATGCCCAAACCATCTCAACCGATTTTCTACCATTTTTTCCTCAATAGGTGCCACCCTCACTTTTTCACGTATGTGCTCATTTCGAATTTTATCTTTACGTGTATGTCCGCACATCCATCGTAACATTCTCATCTCTGCTACTCCAACTTTATGCTCTTGCTGTCCCGTTAGAGCCCAGCATTCACTACTATATAACATTGCCGGTCTGATAGCAGTACGATAAAACTTTCCTTTAAGTTTATTAGGCACCTTACGGTCACAAATAACTCCTTTAGCTTTTCTCCAATTAAACCACCCAGCTTGAATTCTATGTGAAATATCTCCACTGATTTCGCCATCATTTTGAATAATGGCTCCCAAATATCTAAACTTTTCCACTTGAGGTATAATTTGATCTCCCAATTTCACTTCCAAATTATTTTCGAATAGTCCTTTACCAAATTTACAATATAAATATTCCGTCTTACTTCTATTCAGACGAAAACCTTTCGACTCCAATGTCCTCCTCCATAACTCAAGTTTGCAATTAACCTCTTCTCTTGTCTCTGCTATAAGAACTATATCATCCGCGAAGAGCATACATTTCGGGATTTCCTCTTGAATATGTTCCGTCAAAACATTTAAAATCAAGTTGAACAAATAAGGACTCAGAGATGATCCCTGATGTAGTCCAATCTTTATAGGAAAATCCTTTGTTTGACCACTAGGCGTTCTTATACTAGTTTTTACCCCCTCATACATATCTTGTATGGCTTTAATATAAGCAATCCGTACTCCCTTTTTTTCCAACGCTTTCCAAAGCACTTCTCTTGGTATACGGTCATAAGCTTTTTCCAAATCAATAAAAACCATGTGTAGATCTTTATCTTTACAACGATACTTTTCCATTAATCCCCTTAGTAGATAAATTGCCTCTGTAGTTGATCTACCTGGCATAAAACCAAATTGATTCTCAGAAATACTTGTCTCCAATCTCAACCTGTGCTCAATTACTTTCTCCCACAATTTCATTGTGTGGCTCATGAGTTTAATCCCTCTATAGTTAGTACAATTCTGAATATCTCCTTTATTTTTATAAATAGGAATTAATGTACTTCTCCTCCACTCATCAGGCATTTTCTTGGACCGTAAAATCACATTAAATAACTTAGTTAACTATCTCACCCCTTCTTCACCTAAACATTTCCACGCTTCGATAGATATACAATCAGGTCCGTTAGCTCTACCATTTGCCATTTTCTTAAGAGCTTCCTTTACCTCCTTATCACGTATTTTTCGATAGAATGACAAATTTTGTTCTCCTTCACCAGTTACTAAATCCTCCAAGTTACTAGATGAATCCTCTCCATCATTGAAAAGTTTAGAAAAATAAGTCTCCCATCTATTTTTAATTTCATCATCTGTAACTAAAATTCTTCCCTCTTCATCCTTAATACACCTTACCTGTTCTAGATCGCTTGATTTTCTTTCCCTACTCTTGGCAATCTTATAAATATTTTGCTCTCCTTCCTTCGTCTCAAGGTTCTTATAAAATTCTTCAAAAGCTTTGGAACGAGCTTCACCCACAGCTCTCTTAGTTTCCTTCTTAGCCATACGGTACCTCTTCCAATTTTCTTCATTGTTACACAAATGTATGGCTTTAAAACAGTTCTTCTTATACTTGATTTTGTCCTGTACACTATTATTCCACCACCAAGACTCCTTATCTCTCGGACCAGAACCTTTCGATTCTCCCAAAACTACTTTTGCAACCTCCCGTATCTTTTTAGCCATATCCTCCCATATGATGTTAGCACTTCCCTGAGAATCCCAAATTCCTTTATCCAAAAGATTTCGCTTGAAAATATCTTGCTTCTCACCTTTTAATTGCTACCACCTAATCTTTGGTGTTACTACTTGTCGACGTTTTTGGATTTTACTCATAATACACACATCAAGGACTAGGACCCTATGTTGTGTCGTTACAGCATCTCCAGGGATCACCTTACAATTTTTACAAAGTTTTCTATCTGTGTTCCTAACCAAAAGAAAATCAATCTGCGACCTTGAGGCTCCACTTTTGTAAGTGATGAGATGCTCATCTCTCTTCTTGAAACAAGTGTTGGCAATCTTAAAATCATACGCCAATAAGAAATCAAGAAGAGTTTGCCCTTCATTTTTTGCTCTCCAAAACCAAAACCACCATGCACCCTCGCATACTGACCAGCTTCCCTCCCGACATGCCCATTAAAGTCTCCTCCAATAAAAATCTTTTCACTCTGTGGTATGTGTCGAATCAACCCCTCCAGATCCTCCCAAAATAATTCCTTAAGACTGGCTTCTGTCCCGACTTGCGGCGCATAAGCGCTAACAATATTAACAGTCTCACGTCCAATTATCATTTTTAAAGAAATAATTCTGTCTCCAATTCTGCTAACTTCTACAACGTTCTTCTTCCACTCATTATCTATAATGATGCCTACTCCATTGCGTGCACTTACTTTTCCTGTATACCAAAGTTTGAAACCTTGAATATCCTTAGCTCCTTCTCCACGCCATTTTGTTTCTTGCAAGCAAAGGATATTGATTTTCCTTTGAATCATAACCCCTACAACCTCTACAGATTTACAATTTAATGTCCCAACATTCCAAGTACCAAATCTAATTTTGCTCTTATGGACTAACTTCTTTAGCCGCGTGCGTCCAGAATGACGCGGTAGCCCTTGCTCATTTAACACTACATCCGGGCGCCGATGCAGCGGCTCTAACTCACTTATCACTGTACTCGAGCCATGCAGCGCGTTACTTACGGGCAACGACCTAGCATTAACATTATAACGTCTATTGTCCATGTTCATGATAGATTCAACAAATTTTTACATTGGCTGTTGATGGCCTAACACAACTCTCCTCCTAACATATAATTTCATTTTCATCTACATAAAAGCAATGGTACAAGAAGGTCATGGAAACGTAGCAAACTGAAGATAGTGATCATTCAATTCATACATTGCTCAAAAATTGGAAAGCCATTTGAACGCCATAGTTCTCTTTGATATAGATGAATAGACTTATAATCTGTAAAAAAGAGGGCAAACAGAATACTTCATTAGCTTGTCAGGAGGTTAAACCCAAAAATATAACAGAGCAGCTTACCATGATGTTTAACATATATAACATGAACAGAAAAGGGAGAAGTCACCTTAGTGGATATGTCCTCCTCAAAGTTATTCCTATTCCCCCTGGAAGAATGATTTTCCATCTGTGTGATGTACTTTGAAGAATACAGCACAATTCCAAACCTCATAGGCAAATTATTTTCATACAATGACAAGATCATATCAATCAACTGCAAGGTTCCAGAAAATAAGCAAATAGTGAGGGATTTCAAAGCAAAATTTACATAATAATCAATATGACAATGTTACGGAGCAGAAAATAAGCTTGCCTCAAGACCACAAGTGGTTGCCGGGTCAAACACATAAACAGCATGAAAAAGGTTTTTACGGATATAACGCAGCTGCCCGGGAAAGACTGGCATCAAGATCTAAACATAACCAAAATATATATTTATATTTTATTCAGATAAGACTTTACAACATGGATAATTTTAAAATATAAAGTAATTTTACTTATAATATAAATATCAATTAAAAATCAACTCGCCTCATTTAAATTACTCCTCCACCTTTTGTACTTGGCATCTTCTTCCAAGTTGTTGAGATAATGTGCATGTGATGAACGAAAGTCAACACGGAATGCATTGGACTCTGAAGGAGGTAAAGTTGAAAGTAGTTTCCGCACAGTGCTATGAGGAATCTGCAATTGTGGGAACATATCAGTATTACAATATCTATGTCAAGCAAAGCATCAGTGAATGCTTTATCATTATTATTATTATTTGTGTGTGTGTGTGAGAGAGAGAGAGAGAGTTAACAGGTATCTATGTATTAAAGTAATAAATACTCAAAGATTATTACTGATTCATAACAGTTTTCGGTTCGAAAAAAGAGAGAAAGCCAAAAAAATAAATGAGACAAATGTCGCACAAACTCTAAAAACAGTGACAGTATCAATAATATGCAAGCTTCTGTACATAATGCACACATCAGTTTTCTTTCTGAACTATTCAGCATATATCAAATCAAATTTAATTGCACCATTCTCATTGCTAGATTAATACCAGTAACTATTTCATTTACAGCTCTCTCTCTCTCTCTCTCTAATTCCAAATTTTCTTGGTGACTACATTATTTTTGCACAATTCCCCCCACCCAAATGTATATTTATATGAAATCTCAACTGTTAGAATGCCCCAGAATTTTTCATTGTCCACAAAGATTATCCGTCAGGAACAAGTTAACAAGAAACAAGTCAAGTATAAAGAAAATTCTAAGATATAACAAAGGTTAGAAGGTGTTCACCTTCAATTTTAAGAATTGATCAGCCAACAACAGGTCCTCATGGACCAAGTCCGTCAACCTAATATATGATTAAAGGAATACAATATCAGAATTTGGAAATTTTTCATCCAAATAAGAGATTATCCCAGCCACGACTTCAAACATACTATAAAAAACCAAAAATTATCAAAGAAAGCCATAATCAACACCAGGCTTAACTTGATTTACTATGTTCTTTGAGCCAAGGAGACATCTTGAGGTAAGTTGGGATGTTTTTTTAACTTTCAATACTCATTGTCTGAGCTTGCAGTGAAAGGACTATGATGATTATGATAAATTGACATTAATTTCTGAAAATATGATTAACATGAGCAATAAAATAATGTTCAATGGACATTTACTACAGGAGCATTTTAAATATCTCACATGTCAGTAGCCAGACAAAATAAAATATTATTAGAATAAATTATAAAAGCCACCTGAATTTTACTGAGATTACACAAACTTCCTTACTATGGTAAAAATATACACTTGTCTAATTTTTTTAATTAAAATGCTGCCCATAAAACACCTGTTTTGGTTAATAGAGGATATTTTAGACAAAAATAAATCAACATTGAGGTAGCAGAGATGAAGTTGTTAAGATAGATGTGCGATCAGACAAGAAAAGACAAACTCTATAATGATTATATGCAAGGAAAAGATCGTGTGACCAATATCAAGGAAAAGATGAAAAAAAAAATCATTTAAAGTTGTTTGTGCTTGATCGAAGAGGGCTGATAATGCCACCAGTAAGGAGATTTGAGCAAATGGTCTGTAGGCCCCCCATGAAGAAATACGGAGAAAGGCCAAGAAAAACGCTCAAGAAAGTTATCAAACAATCTCTTGGTGAATAATATATCTTAAGAGTTGGCTGTCGAAATAGCAATAATGTCACCATGCAATCCATGTATTCAACCTCACTTGGTGGGATCAAAGCTTATTGTTATTGTGGACTAAGATTAAGTGTAATATTTTGTTCAAGTGGGGGTTTTTGTAATCCATAAGAATTACTACAATAACCTTGCATTCCTTTCTTATTCTAAACCCTTTAAAGATAATCTATAAGAATTGCTCTAAACTCATAGGAGACACCCGGCAAACCTCAATAGAAGTGGCTGCATCACTATGGACAAAAAAAGCAGATGTTTTTGACCTGGTAAAATGTTATATAAAAATTTACCCAATATATAAGCTTCTTTAAGCAAGCACAGCCATAATCAACAGAAATTAAAATAATTTTCCAGATAGACCTTGGTCTGACTTTGGCATGTACACATCAAAGAACCATAGAGATTAATAGCTGAAGGTAGTACGATGGCAGTAACCTAAGGTACAACATAGGTGCATAATGAAAATGAAATGTTTCATCATGATCATATAGAAGATGTCAGCAGGAGAAAAGGCATTACAGATAAAGGTCTATATCTTCGACATTGACTAAAGCACCATTGAGAGCCATTAAAGACTTGCCAGGAGGAATCATGCGCTGGTTTGCCATTATTTCATCTTTAACAGAATCATCAAGCTGTCACATGCCACGGCTCAATAAGGACCAAAGAAAGAACTAATTTAGAGAAAATTGTTTTAAATATCTTGACATTTAAGTAACAAGATTATGTACCTTCATGCGAGACAGAGAAGAAACTATGCTAGGGAAGTTTTGATTAATTTCCTGCATCGACTGCAGAGGATCAGAAGCCTTGACTATCCTCTGAGCTGTTTGATGTCCCAAATCTGTTTGTCATGGAAAAAATAAAGAGAAAAAAGTTCAATTGAACCAAGCATAAAGGAAGTCAACTATCATCAAATTTATTCAAGCATTAAGGGGCAAATACCCTTTAGTTCCCAAACATCAAGAGTGTCTGACACAGTTGATGATAATAGATAATCCCTAAATGCCATTATCTCAGATGTTAGGTCAGGTTTTCGCTCCTGTAAGTAGACAAAAACAAAATCATCCATAAATCGTGACCAAATAGATTGAGTTTGGGGAGGGGGTATAATTCAATAAAATATGCCCCAAAGAGTCAAAGAACATAAACAGATAACACACACACAATAGCGGAAGAAAAAGAAAAAAGTGCCATGTTTGCCCCTTCTCAGTATTTTATATATGTCATCAAAGCCATGCATTCTTTCATGCTTATCTCACACTAAATGCTGCTCCATTATGTATCACCTAACCATTTAATCTGACATTTAAACAACCAAACGTACGCTGTGTGTTGTATCACATTTCTTTACTTAAGAATGAGAATTACAGAAAAGTCCCCTTCATCTCCAAGATATAATATCCATTAGCTGCATCAGGGAACTTCATCCAAGGATAACTTCACATTCAGCATTTGTTGATTACAATACAATATAAATAAAAGGGTGACTTCAAGGTTAGACAAACCAGAATTTTAGAGAATATGAATCCTCTGACATCTTGGCTAAGATCTTCAGTCCGGGGATCCTCCAAAGTCACACCTGCAACCAACATCTAAGATTAATTAAGATCATTTGCAAATATAAGTAAACTATTATTGTCAAAACAATCAAATGTCAGGATCAGTTTATTTGAACGAACTACATAAAGAACAACGATATTGTGAATCCTAAAATATGTAACATTAGGAAACCCTTTTTCCATATGCATATCCAAAGTTTTAGTTCATATTTCATGAAATTTGAATTCAATGCCAGTACAAATAAAACATATCTGAGGTTGACATGATGAAGTATGTGCTTGGTTTCACATTAGAAACCAACAAAATCATGATTTTGGTGAAACCAAGTAGCTACTCCTGTTTCCACTAAAACCATGGTTTTGGTGGTTGAAACTGAACTCGCTAGTAGTCTTTTAAAAAAAATAAATCTTAACACTGAATTCATACATATTCCCTAGCGGGATTTGTCCTGCACTACATATTATCATATGAAGTGAACCACAAATGAAAACGAAAATAAAGTACTCCCTCCATTTCTAAATATAAGATTCAGGCCAAAAAAAGAAATTCTAAATATAAGAAAAAATAACCAACTCACACAGTTTAAGAAAGTTGGTTAGGTGTAATAATTATGTCTAAAAATTTAACAACTAAACTAAATTATCCTTGTAATTAATGAACCAAATTTGTCTAGTAAAAATAAACATTGACTTTATGAGGCACAATTTGGGAAAAATATAATAAATACTTCTTGAAATTTGTAATTTTGCTTATAAATAAAAATAAAGAGAAACATAATAGCTTCTCTTATATTCGAAAACAGAGTAGTACATGGAAGAAAATTATTATAAATTACAGAAGAACATTACACAGGAAGACACTAAATACTCTAGTCAGCATATATACATTCTAACACTCTCCCTCAAGCTAGAGAATGTCAATCATATGTACCAAGCTTATTGCAAATGGAAGAAATGTGTAGTCCCCTTAAAACCTTAGTGAGAATATTTGCAAACTGATAATTGGGATTGACATGGATGGTGATGAGAATCCTCGGTAGTATTGCTCTTTGCAAACATGAGAAACAATTTCAAAGTGTTTAGTCTTTCATTTGAAATGATTAGTCCCCTTAATGCTTTAGTAAGAATATTAGCAAACTAATAATTGGGATTGGCATGGCTAGCGATGAGAGTCCTAGAAATGTCTCAAATAAAATGAGTCAACTACAATGAGTTTGGTCCTCTAACAAAAGACTACATTGCATGTAGCATGTAAAGCAACTTCATTACCACAAACTATCACCATATTTCATGAATCTCCAAATTGGAATTTGTGAAGCAATTGTTCCATCCACACAAGTTCACACACTACGAATTCTATTCTTTATGTATTATAATGCTACAACAACGACAACAACAACAAGCCTTTATCCCACTAGATGGGGTCGGCTACATGGATTGCAAAACGCCATTGTGCTCTATCATTTATCAAGCTTTTAGGAATATTATTAATTAAGAGATCGCGCTCAATAACTTCCAAGAGTGTTCTCTTAGGCCTTCCTCTACCTCTCTTAATCGGACTCAAAGTTTTATGTATTATAATGCTATTTCAACTAAATTAAGCAACAAAATAACCAAATCTAGTTAATTGATATATGTCTGTAGATTAATATCTAGGCCTCCATTACTTAAATTTTCAGCTGCACACACTTGTGAAGAATTGATGTATTTCCTCTCTCTTCCATGTACAGGAGTTGCAGCATGGATTTAGGTCAAATTGCTTTATACAATCCTCCAACCAATGGATGCAATTTCTATAAAGAAGAAAGGGAGAAGGTGCGGAAAAATGAATCAAAATCTCTGCTAAAATCCATTTCAATGCTTGCACGGCACTGAAATATCAAGTTTCCGGTAAGATGAGTGTTGAGAGAAATATTCCACTCTCCATTTCCTTCATTACAAATGGAAAAATGTTTGATCTGGTGAAGTTTACTTCGATCAAAAGTTAGAGAAAATTGATTGAATGCTAAAGCTTTGGCTAGAGGAGATAGATAGAATAAGGAATTCTAGGTAAGAAAAATTTGCCCATGCACATATTATTTTTCTAATTTATTCTTGGATTGTTGAATAGTATTGGTTTTCCCTATGTTTGGTTGAAATAATTAGAAGAGGGAAATAATTTTCCCCTGTGGTGACCAAAATTTAGTTGGCCAAATTGATGAAGCTTGACGAGATGTTTGGTTGAGTTTACTAATAAAAACAAGATTAAAAGGGCAATAAAAAAACGCAAAGAACAAAGGTCAAGAGGGTAAGGTCATGTTTGACCAACCATTGGCAACTCTCTTGGAACCATCAGCAAGAGTAATGGTAAGAAGTGAAAAAAGAGAAATATCAAGATGTGAAGAGTTGAGGGTTGCCATAAATAGGAGGGGGGGAACAGCATCAAGACTCCCATGGGCCTAGGGATGAGATCTTAGAGAGAAATGCTACAAAGTTTGTGCATCCATGGCAATTGAGATGTCAATGTGCTTGGTGGCTTGATATTATAAGAAGGCATAGTAGTCGGGTCCCAAATAAAGTGACGAGGGATGAACATCAACTTGAGGAATGTCAACATTCTCCATGAAACCACCATTTGATGTCTTGGGACAACCATGTAGAGAATAACGACAGCCAAAGTATGGCTAAGTTTGTTTCAGTTCACACTGTGCAATCATTGTTCCTTACTCCCTTGTTATGTCCACCATATCCTTGACTCCGATAACAATCACCATTTTAAATTCTTTTCAATAGCATAACAATCATCATGGTACTAGGTTAAAATAAAGGCCCAAAGTGGAACAGATTCGTTTAGTAAATGGTCTATCATTGCACCCAGGTAAGAAATTTATCAAGTGGTAGAATGCCAAGAATGGAGAGAATCTAATCACAAGCAAGTGAGGTCTCAAGCAGCAAGTGTAAAACCACAAATAATTTGTCTCATTGTCAGACATTAATGGATATTGACAACATATTTATTTCCTTTTTTCACAATCTTGACCTTTCCCGCATAAGCATTCATGTCCAGCTACTTCAAATTTATCATTTTAGCAACAAGAACACAAACACATTAAAAGTCATTAGAATGAATGGGCTTAGGATTTAGCCGAAAAGGTACAAGACATTTTGTAGTTATGGAGAATGTATCATAACTTATGCTCAAATGATGTCATAGCATACCGTACGGTTAATAGCCTATTTTCTTTTGAGTAGGCCAATAACAAGATGAACATTAAACACCCTCACGGGCCAAAGAACCAAAGCTCAACAGAAATAAACCCAGCAGTATAATTAGAGCCATCTAATTTCTCAAGAGTTGCTGGATTCCCCGAAAATAAAGAAAAGAACCCAGCTTTTGGGCTAGTAGCTTGGACAGCATCAAACATAATGTATTTTGATTGAATATAGCTCTAGAATGTGATCAAAGGTGAAGAAGAAAGGATGATAATACTCAAGAGTGAAGAATAAAGGAAATTAGCAGCAGCGACCACAAATAAGGCCTTAATAAGGAGGTTGAAGAATTGGGGCTAGACAGCATGAAGGCCAACAAATAGTTCTGGGCATGGAGCAATTCTATGATTTGGTTGGTGCTTATCAGCACATTTGCAGCGTGTGGTTGTTAGGCAGTGGTGTCTAAGCCAATTGGTGAGGGTCGCATGTTAAGAAATGTGACACATTGATTGGAATGAAGTGAAATCATTGGAGAAAGGTTGCCTGAAAGGGAAGAAGGGTTTTGGCCTTCACAGGCTATGCTGCCATGTGAAATATGGAGAAAGGCGAGAAAACCATTGAATGAAATGTAGTTAGTTAATTCTAATCAACATGAAACTTAATACTTATAAGAGAATATTACAAGACAAGACATTGAATACTCATAATTATAATAATAATACCTTACTAAATACAATAGTAACCTACCATTCATGGATTAAGCCACATGCTAATACACATTCTTTATCTAGTCAGCATAATTACGTTCTAATAAAATCAGGCCTTTACTTTTCACAAGTACCTATTTTCTTTACCAAATTAACTTCTACATTCAAAATATAAAAACTCATGGACTACAGAAAGTCTGAACTTGGCACATGTACTAATCATCTAACCTTTCTTTACAGTACTGTCATCCATGGTTTTATATTCCATATTCTTTAGAGCAAGCTCCACACCGTAACCACCCAGGTTTAAGGTTTGGCCTGCACCAACAGAACCACAATGGCCAAAATTTGCTTCACAGCCCGCAGGCAACACCGGTCTGAGTACATAATTAACTTTTCCCTAAAAAACCACAAGTCAAAATATCAATAGCTGCAGGTAAGCATATAAATAAGAAGCATAGAATCAACTATGAATAAAGACTTTAGTTGGTCAAGGCCATGGAAGCACAAAGTTCACAATACCAGTAACATATGCTTTTCAAAGACATGAAAGCTTATTCCATGCATTAGTAAAGTTATCTACCCAGATGGGCTATCTGACCACCAATTATGTGATTGCATTAAGTCTCTAATTTTATTTTTCATAACTTTAGTCCAGAAGTGTGTCCAGATACTTTAAATTTCTTGAGTTCAGAAATTCACTTAGTTAAAATACGATTGTTCCCCTGATTTAAAAGTATCAAACCTGAATCTTTACTCTATCTTATCTCCATCATGAAGAGATTAAGAAAGCTCCCCCAAAACTAGTTAGAAAAGTTGGCATATAAGCTTGTATAATATTATATAAATACGGAAAAGCACTCAAACTTCAGTAAGTGGAATATAAACTTTTTTTTTTTGGGTCAATCTCAATGAATCAGATAAACCTGTCGTTCCCTGCCATGCATTTTCATTATCCATGCCTACATCAAATCCTCAAAATAAGAAATGTTACATAAACCATAGATAGAACTCGTCAATCACAGAAGTTACAGCAACAATCTGGTTAGCAAATGAAGAAGATCAATTTCTCATATGTCAAGCATAAATTTTTCCATTTTTCCTTGCTTCTATAACAGATATGCCTCCTTTCACCCACTCCCTAATCTCTCATTCATCTCCATAGGCTTTTTAGTATGATATCAAATTATCATGCTCATATGATTAAGTTCTGGAGAAAGAAATCCAATTTGAAGGCTAGTTCAGATTATGCTTATCTACTGTAATCATAATTTTCCTGAAATAAGTAAAAAATGCTAATGATGTTCCCATGATGACATCATTAGAAACAAAAAGTCAGAGAAGGAACCTCTTTAGCTGCTTTAACAAGAGCAAAATGAAACTCCTTAAAGCAATTAGTTCCAAGAGCACCATAGAGGACAGCAACAGGACTTCCAATGCTTGAATCAAGATGGACATGATCAAAATCAAATATTTCAGGTTGCTGAAATGAATCATTGACCCTGGTAAACATTAAGAAATGTTTGAGACATTATGCATCATATAATTGAAAACAAAACTAAAACAAAAACACGACAATGACATCAAGGAAGACAACAGAACTCACGGTTCGACTGGTCTGTGAATCCATAAGTTTAGCTCCGAAACATCAAAAAACAAATGCGCACCAGTATCCACCCAACAGCATTTCCGCACAGGACTTTTCAGGTTAACATCATCATGTAGGACATCTGACTTTGTACTTTCATTGTCCTTTATTGTTTCACCGATTTCCGCATTGTTATTGTTTGAGTAACTTTCATCACCCAGGGGAAAAGAAGAAAGAGACTCATCTGCTAATTGCTGGTAAAGCACCAACCGTGGAGATGCTGATCTCAGCAAAAGCGAGAACTCAAACAGTGATGCCAATGGTGCACTTAAAAGAGGCTTTCCATATTCTAAAATTTTCTTGAGACAATCTTTAGCCGTTTGAGAATCAACAGCATCCTTCTCAGCATGTAACCAAACCTCAATGAAGTCCCAAAAAAGGTCTTTCTGTTCTTTAGATAATAATTCACTGTTTACAAGAAGAATATTGAAGTTAGATCAATTTCAAAGATGATTTGCTGTTTCCACTTAAAAAAAAAAAAAATCATACAGAAGGAAATACAAGCCACATTTAGATTTGGCACATGAAGTGAACAGAAATCCAACTAAATTGGAAATTATCACTTTCTTTGGCATTTCTATGTCTCCATTTACACCATAAAATTGGACAAGTGACAAAAGTTAAGAATCAAATGAACCTACAGGTTTGTTCATTCATATTAAGACATAGAAATAGATCTTGAGATTCATCATTGCACATGACCCAAGGAGCAGGGCACACTGTTCACGGTTTGTGAATAGTGTGACTTGCAAGAAATTTCATTAATATATGAATAATATACAAAGCTATTTGAATGATTTAGACATAAATCAAATTCCATGGTCTTCACTTTTTGATAAACTAAATTGCAAACTAAGAACTTAGAATAAAGCTTCCTCTGCAGCTATGGTAATATTCTCTTCTAATAAATCCAGGATAAGCACCGCCTACCAAAACTTAAGATTCTCAGGGCATAAATGTTAATTTTTTGGCCAGAAAAATATTAAAATATTAATAATTGATAAAAAAGTAAATTTATGATCCAAAATCTATTTTCTTTTCTCCTTGCCAGATATCTAAGAAAGGCAATATAGAGTATGAACAAGCACCTTAAAAATGATAGATTTGGGAAGAAAGTATCTCATATAGGCTAGGCGCATTCTGGAGAATTTCATAAATTGTCATCACCTACAAGTCTACTCCTATCATTCCACATTATGAGTACGTAACACAACAAGTTTCCTCCCCATTTCCACTTCACATAGGTCTCTCTAGCTTGCTATTGGGATGCAATAATATTAACAGACGCAAGTAAAGCAACAAACTCATCAAAATGACTCTCGCATTAAGTGAAGAACTTGGAAATTACAATAGCTACGTACCCTGCTTCTACAAGCAATGGGGTTCCCGACCACTTAGCCCGAAGAGCAACTTGCACGTTCTTGGGCCTTCGAGTGTCAGAAAAGGCAGGGCCGATCCCTAACAGTCCGAAACAAGCCAGAACAATCAGAATCCGAAATCCAGATCTATAAAGGGTCCCCATGCTCGGCCAGAAAGATATTCCAGTCAGTGTCTGCAAGAGATGGAGCGAGTTCAAGGTTGATCCACCATTACCGAATGCAAGAAGCGAGGATGGAGATCAGAAGGTGGAGGTTTCGGCTCTGGGCTACGTGCTCTGTGGGCACCTCAGGCACTGAGGTTTTTAGGCGGAGACGACCCAAGGCGACGACTCCGTTACAGACGGCAGAGCATTCAGTCTCATGTTACAGCGGCACTATGAGCTATTGGCTCATGTTTCGCCTCGTGCGAGATTAAGGTATTTTGGTAATTTCAGAACGTTTTGTCCACGTCATCTACCACGATGAATACGCCAAAATATCAACCAAAAAAAAAAAATCAATAACCAGTATCAATTCTCAGAATAAAACATTAAAAATCTGATAAGTTATCAATAATCAATGAATAATCAACAATATCTATTACGTGTAGTATAAACTTGGGTTTTATTGGATAGAAGTATAAAATTGTGGCCTCTAATATTATCTCATCTAGATAAAGTATACCAATTTAACTGTAGTAAATTTTGAAAATATAGCATAGCAATAAATATGTGTATGTGAGGGGGAGATATGTTGAGATTATTACAAACAACTTAGGAAATACACAACATATTTTGATTTATTAATCATATACTAAATTATACTATTTAACAAAAATACTATTTGAATTGTTTATAACAAAAATACTATTTTATCATGTTTGATTGACATATTTTTAAAAGGGGTTAATAAACATTCTGAACTTTAAAATATTACTCAAATAATATTTTAGACCGTAAACTCTTAAAATGAGCAATAGTTCCCTTTAAACTTGTAAATTTCAAGCAAATTACCTATTACTGTTTATTAGTACAACGTTGACTGCTATGGAGAAAACAATTTGACAAAAAGTTGCCCAATTAGCATGCCATGTCTGAGGAGAGATTACTACCACGTCAACCTTTGACTGAGCCTCACAAAGTTAAAAATAACGGCAATTATATATAACTTAACAACAGAGGTAATTTATTCAAAATTTACAAGTTCAAGAAAAATTTTGTTCATTTTAAGAGTTTAGGTTTAGGATGCTATTTAAGTCATAGTTTAGGGTTCAAAATGTTCATTAACCTTCTAAAATTAGAATATATTTAAAAGTTGTTTGAATTATATATAAAAAATATTTTTAAATGTATTATAACAAAAAAAGAATATTAATTTTAATTATTTGTAATTTTTTATACAGACACAATATATTAAAAATGTTTAAAATATATATATAATAAAAATGTCAAATAACATAAAAGTTGATAATTGATTTAAAAAATTAGTTCAATTGTTTATTTGAATAATTCCATTGCTTTTTGAATTTTCAAGTAACATTTCTTTTCCTATTTCAAATACAGTAGGTTTGATTAGTTTTTACTCAAATACATAATAGTGAAGGGGAAAGAACTAGAGAAAGGGAAGTCTCGAGTGACTAATTTATACAAGTTTAAACAGAATCTTTGGACGAACAAGAAAAGTAAGTGGATGTTTTAGGAAATGATAAAGGCAGACAAAAGTGCTAGGGAAGCCCAAAAGAATTTGTCTAATGAAGAGAGGAGTAAGTATGATAGTATTGTAAAAAAAGAAAACAAAAAACTAGGAGGTACCTCCTCGAGCAAAGAAGTGGAATTGCCAGTAAGGTGCTCCTCAAAACAATTTGTGAAAGTGGTAATGACAATTGAAGGCTGGAGTAGATAGAATTGCATTTGATGAAATTCTAGATGTTAGGTGTATTAAATTACACCATGGTTTATGTGCTGAAATTATTAAAGCAATTGACCCAACAATTTCATCAATATTCATTAGAAATATAACCTTAGTAAGAGATGAGATGTTAGTTGAAGTGTTCATGGGATTGCCTTGTGAGGGGAAAAGTTGTTAAGGAAGTGGCAACTAGTAACAATGACTTATATTTAGATTTTAAGAGGAAGATGATAGAAAAATGTTTAGTAACTTGAAGAGAATGCTCTTGTCAAGAGAACATGATAAAATGTTTGAGTCATTATTTGTACTTTCACTCTTGGAACGTTATTATTCCCTCTTGTACTTGGAATTGTCATGCAATGGCTATTCAAAATGATATGTTGTGATAGAAGTACATTAGGTTCATATAATTGGTCCAATCTTATGGTGAAAGTGTTGATGAAAGATGTTGAAGATTATCAGGATGCTTTGAAAAGAAGGAAAAGAGAAAAATATTTTGGTGAATACCTTTATTTTTTAATGATAAAAATCTAAACTTGTGTATTTTAATTTAAACTTTGTCTTGATTTAGTTGGTTAGTCATGCTAACTTATTTATTTTCATGTAGATATTATTATTTGAGAAGTTTCCATTGCTTGGTGTTGTGCCACCTCAGCTACTTATATATTGGAATGATAAGAAAATGAACAAGATAGTTTAGTTGGAGAAGTCCAGTGCACAAGGGCTTCTATTGGTACAAATTCAAATATGAAAGTCAAGGTGGCTCACCCAATAATTCCTGTACTATAGTGTTTGATACTCTAATGAGTAGAGAAATTTATTCACACGTAATGGGAAAGCTTGGTTATAGTCTTGCAAGAGAACTTTTGAAAATGGAACAAGAGGGGGAATCAAAGGGAGTAAAACCACAAGGGAAGAGACAATGAGAAACACAAATTGAAAGAGAAGGGTAGATTGTAGGTATGTGGTTAAGGGAGTATTGTTGGACATAAGAGAGGAAAAATATTATGGAGAATATGGATATGGATATTAATATGGGAGACAAAGGATATATGAGCATTTTAAATGATCTTGAAACAATTAATGTAAAATCAGAACTAGTGGACAATGTCAACAAAACAATTAATATAGATTCAGAACTAGTGATTGATGTCAAGGAACTAATTTTCTTTGTTAATGACAATGCTGGAAGTGCAAAGGGAAATGATTCTGTTAAAGACAATAATGAATGTCTTAAGTTGAGGAGGTCTCAAAGTGTGATAAAACCTATAATACAATCACCATTTTTGATAGAATTTGGGAAGGAAGCTAGGCCTAATGAGATAGAGCACTTCTATTACCTAATAACCCAATAGAGAAATAATGATCTCCTAAAGGAAAAAGTCATTAAGGTTGCTTCATTCTTTACTACAGCTGAGGAAATGCAATGCTTGTGTGTAAAAGGCTAGTTAAGTGAGACTGTAAGTAATAGTATAATTTAGGCATGTTTAAGTCTCGGATGTATTGTGAAAGGCTAGTATGTAATCTCTATTATAGGTTCTGTCTTGTAGGCCATGTGCTCATGCATGAACAAAAGCAAAGTAAAGATGTTCCACGACATATTTTCCCATCAAATTTCATTATAAATAAGATTAAACACTTTTGCAATCTTTTTGTATGATTACTAATTGTGATATATCGCCATTGTGAACAAACTATTATGTTGCAAGAAAGTGGCCAAAAATTTTTGCAAACTTCTTATGTATGTAAAGCCTGAATTATATGGAGACAAACTTGATATTGCTTTCCAATTTGCACTAATCCCATAATAAGACAATGGGTGAGTTGAAATAGTTTAAATATATATAGGTTGTATACTTGTTAATTATTGACATTTCTTTTGTTTCTTATGGGTTTGACTGTAACATGTCTATCATATAATGGCCACAAGGATGGGAAAAATTTAACAAAGCTAGAATAGAACAACTCAACAATGCCTGTGGAGGACATACGAAAGAAGAGGGTAGAAGTGCTTTGGTGGCTTGTCACTCATGTTGAAAAAAAAAATTATGGGACAAGATGCTAGCATTACTTCCATTATGGCAAGGATTTAAAAAGAAAAAATAGACTAGGAGTATCATTCATTGTTTTTATAAACCTTAATATTATGTTAAAGTGTATGAATTTCTTGTGACCATTGTTGTAAGAATTTTAGGATACATCAATTGAATTTTTGAATGCATGTTTTATATTCAAGTTTTCTTTTGCTTGAATCTTTAGTTATATTCGAGTATGAATCACTAATATCTTGCAATGATAATATTACTATGTTGAAATACTAGCATATACAAACGTAATATCCTAATAATTGATGATAAAGTGACAATGTTTCAACTAGTTTGCTTCCACTTATTCGAATAACAACACGTGGTATCCTAAAAATGGACATGTCCAAGGCTTTGTTTCCATCTCTTATTCAAATATCCCTCATGCATATTGTGAAAATTATTGAGTTAAAGGCACTATATTCCTCTGGTATTCAAATATGATTAACATATATCTTGAAAATTATCGATTTTTAGCTTTGAATCAGTTACTAAGCTTATCATAATCGAAAATCTCCAATGCATATCTTGAATAATAGCTGTCTCAGAGTCTCTATATCAGTTATTGACCCTCTTATATTTGAATATCCACAAAGCATATCCTAAAAATGGTTGTCCTAAAGTATTTGTAATAATTACTAACCCTTTCATATTCGAATAACATAATTTGTTGTCTTGAAAATTGTTAACTTGGATGAATTGTGGAAGACTACATGCAAGGCTCTCTAGTCACATGCAACTACTCTTCCACAATATGCATATGGATTTCTGTTATATATAAGAAAACTTCTATTTATTCAAATAACAATATATGATATTATGAAAATTGTTAACTTGAATGCATTGCGGAAGAGTACATGTAAGGGTCTTTAGTCATATATTTCTACTCTTCCACTATATGCATTTGGATTTTCGTTATATGCAAGAAAACTTCTATTTATTCAAATAATAGCATATGATATTACGAAAATTACTAACTTAGATATACCATAGAAGACTATATGCAAGGGTCTTCAGTCATATGCAACTACTTTTCCACGATATGCATTGGACCTTTGTTATATAGAAGAAAATTTTCATTTATTTGAATAACAGCATATGATATTCTAAAAAAAATGTTAACTTGGATGCATTGTAAAAGACTACATGTAAGGTTCTGTTGTTATATGCATCTGCGCACTTCCGTGATAGGCATTTAGACTTTCATTATATGCAAGAAAATTTATATTTATTTGAATAATAGCTTATGATAATATAAAAATTGTTAACTTGGATGCACTATAGAAGACTAATACAAGGGTCTGCAGTCATGTATAGTTGCTCTTCCACGATAGGCATTTAGACTTTTGTTATATGCAATAAAGCTTCCTTTTATTCAAATAACAACTTATGATATTTTGAAAATTGT